AGGTGAGCTGTTTTAATTTACTGTCTGAACATATTAGGGAAGGAATGAGACTATTGGAATGTATGGTACCTGCCTCCATAAAAGTAGAGTGATTATTTCAGGAGAATCTTGATGTACCTGCCAAATTGACTTGACTAATGAAGTCAGTTAGTTAACATTATAACCCTGTGGGAGCAGCACAGTGCCTGATGAGGCCACACACTCCCTGAAGGTATGTTCTGAGATCACGCAGTTCTTGAGTTTAAAGGAACAGGAACCTGTATGATGTAAACTGTGAATTTTTGCTGAGAAATAGTCAGGCGAAGTCAATATTATACCACTGACCAGGGCTGCCATTGCCTAGTTTACCTCTTGGTAAAACTAAAATGCCTTGTTTCCACTAGGCTAGTGCACTTGTGTTATTTAGATCATGGTAGAAATGCACCTTTTTTGGCTTTGAAGACAAAGCCATGGGGTGATTGTTTGTTTTTCCCTGAGCCAGCTTGTCCTAACCCAGAACTTCTGCTCAAAGTCCCTCCTCTGCCCCCACAGTCCTATAAAGCTCAGTATTCTGAGGAGAGGATTTTCCCCTAAGACTCTTCCGATGATGCATGATTGCTCCGTCACTTCCCAGTGTGGCCAGTAGTCTGTTCATTTCATGTGTGATAAGAAACATTGCTCGTTAGTCATTCTGCTCCTGTGTTATAAGCCACCACAAATGTGTGTCTGTATAGTCTATTTAGATTGTAATCTCTTCAGGGCAGGGACTGACTAATAATCTGTGTATGTATAGGGCCTCGCAAAATAGGCCCCATTTTTGGGTGGTCCTTAGGCTCTACAGTAATTAACATTAATAAACCGCTTATTCTGGCATAGGTGAAAAGAACCCATAAATCTAAGCAGACAACCTTTTAAAAAAAAAAGTATGAGAAGTGATGCCATTTCTGCAATTCTAATGCAATTCCAAATTTACATCTTAGTAGGGGAAATTTATGAGAAATGTAATCTGGTAGTAACTCAGAGTTGGGTGAGGTATGACTGTATAGATCAGTGGGTCTCAAACTTTTTTACTGGTGACCCCTTTCGCATCTCAAGCCTCTGAGTGCGACCCCCCCCCAATAAATTAAACACACTTTTTAATACATTTAATGCCATTATAAATGCTGGAGACAAGCAGGGTTTGGGGTGGAGGTTGACAGCTCGCGACCCGTAATGACCTTGCGATCCTCTGAGGGGTCCCGACCCTCAGTTTGAAAACCCCTGGTATAGATCAAATGCTGTGAGCAAGAAAGATTGATTACTGTATAATTAGTGCCAGTTGATATGTGTAATAACTATGGAAGAACCCAAGTAAGCATGCTGGCTGCAGGTGCAACACAATGTCAGAAAATAAAATTCTTCCCTAAATAGAGATTAAGATTATCCCTATGTCGATGGAGTATGGACTTTGGCGTACCCATTCCCATGTCTGAAACCACAACCATAGTGATATGATCGCTATCTTCTGTGACCATTGTCTTTCAAGCCCAATGAATGCCATTTCCTTGCATCATACAGCTTACCCTTATGGTATTCAGTCATGGCCTTGCCATCATGGACTCCTCAGTTTCAGTATCCTGCTCAGTATAATGGTAGACATCCCAGACCCAGAACTAAATCTTCTCCACCAGTGTAACTTCAAAGGGTGGTGCATTCACCTCAGATGGAAGAGGTTCAATCAGAAGATCAAAAGTTGCAGAGTGATAGGCATGATATTTTGTTCAGTAGGAGAATCCTTTGGCCTTTTCTTCATCTTCACCAGATGAAAAAGTCATCCCATCAATCTCATATATGGTGGATGATTTCAAGGCATTTCAGGACCTCCTTAAGAGAATGGGTGGAAACCATAGGAAAAGTTGTATAGACTGTTTGACATTTTATACCCTGTCATGCGGGAGCATTTAGTAATTCTGATTAATGAGGGTATGTTAGACCCAGATACAAATCTTCAGCAGACCCCTGCTTCCATTGCAATGTCCAAATGAACAGATCAGACACCAAGTCCCATCAGTATTTTTATACTCACCCTACCCTAGGGTCAGTGGTTGTGATGGATACAAATGAAAAATCAGGGCAATCTGGTCCCAGGCAAAGTACGCCCTGAAGAACAAGGAACTAAAGAAATTAAATATTTTGTGAGGAGGAAAAATATTCTCTAGCTAGTTTACAAGTCAGAATAGCCAGCTATTGGGCTTTGCTAGCTAAGTATGACTATTTTACAATGGGATAGTTTCCTAGTTCTTGGATAAACTTCTGGGGAACCTAAGGGTACATCTACACTACAGGGGGGAGTCTATTTAAGATACGCAAATTCAGCTACGTGAATAGCGTAGCTGAATTCGACGTATCGCAGCCGACTTACCCCGCTGTGAGGACGGCGGCAAAATCGACTTCTGCGGCTTTCTGTCGGCGGCGCTTACTCCCACCTCCGCTGGTGTAGTAAGAGCGCCGATTCGGGGATCGATTGTCGCATCCTGACGGGACGCGATAAATCGATCCCCGAGAGGTCGATTTCTACCCGCCGATTCAGGCGGGTAGTGTAGACTTAGCCTAAGTAACAGTTCAAATCTGTGTGTGCTGAGGGGAAATTAATTGCCAAAATAACTTTTTCAGGCAGTTCTAGATGCTGCTGATACAGCTACAAGGGCTACTTTTGTCTCAATGAGGAGAGATTCTTCATTGGCTTTGTCTGGTATCCCAAAAGAAGTACAGATGACAATAAAGGGCTTACCTTTTAAAGGACATAATTTGTAGCTCCAAGACTACTGAGGCATTATATGCACTGAAGGAATCATGATCAATCCTCCTTCAGTTTTTATGGTAGAGTAAACTATCATATAGAAGGAAACAATTACAACATCAAACAGTTAAGACAAAGACTATCCTCTTATTTTTACAATCAAAAATCTAAGTCCTTCAAGAAGAAATCATACTATTGAAAAAGTGTGCTTCTTTAACCATGATATTGCAGTCTGGACCTAGCCAGAGACAGCAAATTTGATCCTCTGTATGAGGATTCTGGACTAATCAGCAAGGATCTCTACTTTGCCTTCCCCTCCTTTGGTGGGTACCTTCTTGCTTTTCAAGGTTGCTTGGGCTAGAACTATGACTGGCCAGTGGGTCCTAGAAGTCATTCAAGAAGGTTGTCATCCAATTTCAGGGTTTGCCTCCTCCCTACACCTAACCCTGTCCCTCTTCTGTGATGATTCTCAATATTGTTCTATATCAGGAGGTATATTCTCTGCTTCACCTGACTCTATTACAGATAGTATTGCTTGATTTCAGGGGAAAGGGTTCTATTTTCTATACTTCCTAATACAAAGGAAGCAAGGTTGGAAGTGCTTAGAACTAGAGTATATGTCGCCTTTTTTTTTTGTCTGCTATGCTGAGTCCCAAGGACATGACAGCAATCCTCTATGCTTTCAGCCAGTACAGAGTGTGTCTTACCAAGAGAGAAATGGATGTGTCACAGTTAGAGAGGTTTGAACAGCATATTGCCAACTCAGAAGCATTTTATAGAAAAATATGTGGGTGGATAGTGAGGACATCATGTATAAGGTTAAGAAAAGTGTAGTACCTACTTGAGGGTGGACAAAGCATCTTATCTTTATCACCATCTGTCACTTAATTTAAATAAATCAAAAACTAAATAAAACACACCTATCCAAAAAACTCCACCATCACGTAGATTACATCAGGAGCATTAGGTTATCCTGCACTCCTTCACATCAGCTGGCAGTCCTCAAATGACAGACAATAAAAAAGAAAAGCATTACCCACCCAAACTATAACTATTAAAAGAGAGCTTTTAATAATGTATTGTCTTCTAGCAATTTAAATGCCACCTTTGATATGAGTCTTTGTGTACATACAATTCACTGAATGGCACCACACATACACAATGATAACCAGTCACCTAACACAGAATGTTTTTTGGATACGAATGGCCTAACGTGTTTCAGGTTACCAGTACAAAAATTTTGGTTTTTAATCCCAAACCAGCTGCTTATGCAACGTGTATATTTCTTATGCAATAATAGCGAGCATGCTAGTAAATAAACATTTTCCCCTTAATATCTTGAGCACCAAGGAAAGGAAAAGTTTTTAGTTCTACAGGCCCAATCCTTTGAAGTCAGTGGAACGGAGCTAATGTACACCTGCTGAGAAGGGCTTACAAACTCTTTAAAATGAAGTACAATGTTCAGAGAGGGTTTATAGACACTCTGTTCTATTAGATGTCTGGTCATTACTGTAAAGGACATGTCAGAATAAAATCATAATTCCAAGAATACCTGTTGGACAGTTTAGAAACAAGCAAAAATGTGATACATCATGTTGGGTCTGGGTTATTTTGTTGGTTGTGTTGTTATCTGCCCTACACTTATAACCTCTGACTCATTGACTTTCTTCTATGGAGTTTAGAGTTTTGTGTGTTTAGAGTTTTCACTGGCCTCCTGAGAAATGAAATTTCTTTCCCTGTGTTCTGTCCTGCAGAAACTTGAATTGTTTAGCATTTTATCTTGGTTTAATTGTGATCATATTGCAACACAATGGTTGGACTCTCTGAAGAATTAATTAGGCCAGGATTGTATTGTAACAACAAAAGAATTAATATTAGATAATAGTGCTAAGATTTTTATGGTCTTTTTTTTTTTTTTTTTACTTAAAGAAAAGATACTAAAGTGCTTTAAGACACAATTAGGTAGACGCTTACACAAAACTAGTTCTTCTGATGTCAAGACTGCACACATGAGTAAGGGCATGTAAGACCGGGCTCCTAGTTTGCTTCAGTGAAATCTCGCAATATGAAGTCTAGAATTTTATTTATTGTGATTTGGTTAATGGGATTTACAACACACGAACCTACCTGCACGAATTTGATATAAAGAAATATAGTAAGAGCTCTCTGAGACGTATGAAACACACTGTGTCTGCTGGTAAAATCATATTATTAATGGTTTAATTTCTTATATTTTGCACAGGATTCAAGGTTCCAATTAAAACCCTGTTTGGGCCATTGCTTTGCCTTCCAGTTCTTAATCTTTCCCGAAAGCCTCATCACTTATCTAAAACAAAAGAAGAATGAGGTAAGGCGAGAAAGTAATGAAATGCAGCATAACACATCTGTCAAAGGAGCAGAATGTAGCATTAAAAAAATCCAGGATCAGTGACATTCAGAAATTATTTGTTGAGCACTAAATGCTTTCATGTGAGGCATCTTAATTCCAAGGGGTCCATGTCTGTATTATGAGTCTAACATACACTGGGGGGGTTGTTGCTTGTGTTAGAGAGTTTTACAGTTGAAGTAGCCACAGGGTATAAATAACTGATGCCAGTACTGTGAGTGATAATCTGTATTGCTAAACAATCTCCTACTTTGTAGAATGCAACCCTTTAAGAGATTCTTTGACATTTTGGTGCTGAAATTATGAATATAATTAACATTTTTAAAAGTTCTTTAATATCCATTTTTTATAATGTTAGATTTATATTCTCCAAATACTGGCAGTCCTTGTACTTACGACACAATTGGTTCCTGAAAATTGCATTGTAAGTCGAAACGTCATTACTCGGAACCTCAATACACTCTGTTGTGGGACCAAGTGTCGTAAAGTCAAAACTAATTGTCATAAGTTGAATCAGGGTGTCGATTCAGAAACGTTGAAAGAGTTGTTCATCATAAGTCAAACGTGTAAAGTCGAGGACTGCCTGTACACCAAAGGCAACACTGGGCAATTCGGTATTAAAAGCCTTAACCTAATTCATCACGCAGTGGTCTGATAGCCTTTAATTCTTTATTGTTGATAATGCATCTTTTTGAAATTCCTGTGCTTGACACTTCATTGCTATGTTGTCACACTGTATTGCATTACTACATTGGATGGCAGATGGAACTAGGGGTGACATATACAGAGGAATTTAAGGCATGTGTAGAATATGTCTGGACAGTCTATCGAAATGATCCTAATTTGTTTTCAGTCTGTAATATCTGGAGAGTTTAGGGAGGGTAGGTTCAGAGAGGGTTGAAGAAAAAGTTAAATTTCTTCCTTTGCTCCTACCAGCCTGTTATTGTATATGAGTATTTTTAAAGGCTTATACACTAGACAATGATAAGAAAAAGGAGAGGTATAGCCACCGGCACTTAGTTCATGTCTTATAGTCATCAATTATTCCATATCTGACCTTTCAACTATTGCATCTTCACTTTATGTAAGGGCCAAATTCTTCTGTCAGTTACTGCAATGTAAATAAAGACTATTTTCAAACTTCCATTCAATTCAATAGAAATGTTCTGGAACTAAACTGGTACAAATAAGAACAATGTTTGGCTCCAAATGGGAGAGTTGCTTCCATTTCAATATCAAAAATTACAAAATTCTGCTCCCAGTTATACTCATGTAACCCCAGTGGTGTAATCAAAGGCAGTATTTGGCTCATACTTCTTAAAGTTTCCCTTTTTTGATATTCCTCTTTATTTCCCTGCCTATACATCATCCAGCATTACAGTTATTCATATTAATACATGGGGCATCAGTGGAAGTTTTCAGGACCATTTGCTAGGAGCAGCTTTGAGACATCACCTCGATGGTTATGTGCTGCAGTGGTAACTATTGTTTATTTACCCTGGTATTCGCTTAAATCCACTGATTGTTGTGATGTTGACTTGTCTACTTGATGATATTTACAATAGATTATGATTCTCCTTCGATGATGCTGATAATGCATTATGTTTACTTAACAACTGAAGTCTAATATTTATCCATAGAATAGGAGCAGCATAGATAACCACAATTTTTTTAAAATGTCGTTTTGATAATTACCATGCGTAGCTTTCCTACAGATGCAAAATGGGCCATGTTTGTGTAAATTTATGAAACAATAACTTGATATTTGTGATGCTGCTGTAATGGTCCTAATAATTTCATTAAGTGTCAACAATGCTTTTTGTAAACCTCCATTTTTTAGTGTTTTCCTAATTCATCCCCAAAAGAACAAGACCTCACTCTGGGCTGAAATTTGACATACAATACATGATCCACGACTAAGTTATTTTACACATTCTGAAAAGGAAAAGTTATCTTCAGCTCTAGGAGTAAAAATACTGACCATCTTCTCATGTGGTATAAAGGAGGAATAATTGCGATGAAGTCAGTGGAGTTATACCTCTGGTAAATCAGTGGAAGTGAGATGAGAAAAAAGCTTAGTTAAGCGGAAGTTTGTTTTCAGAAACAACCATTGCTGTAACTAGGGTGACCATACATCCTGTTTTAGCGGGACAGTCCCTTTTTTAAGTCCTGTGCTGGCTGTCCTGACTATTTTTTGGCAAAACTGGGCATTTGCCCCATTTGCTCTTGCCATACAAGAGCCAGCAAGAGAAAACGGGACAAATGCCCAGTTTTGCCAAGAAAACTGGGGTGCGACCCCTAGGGGGCATGGAAGAACATGTCAGGGATGAGGGGGGAGGGGAAACAAGCAGCAATGCCAGCCCTGCAGGGGAGGGAGGGTTCAGGAGCCATCTTGCATAAAATATATTTTAGTTATGCCATATTCATATCATAATGTTTTTATGAAGAATATGGAGTGTCACAGCCGTAAAGTCATTGTTTCTTGTAATGAATGCTTGCACATGAATGGTACATGATGGTGGTGGTGTTTATTTGTATTACCGTTGTGCCTTGGAGCCCTACTCATCGACAACAGATCAGTAACACATAATATATGTACCATTATACACTGCAGACACATTTTTAATGATGACCACGGGGTATCTACACACATGGTCGCCTTTAAAAATTTGTCTTGCGTAAAAAATTTACCTGAATTTAAGTAGTACTCTAGGACTGTCCTATGATTGGTATAGAAAATTTGAGTTATGTATGAAAATACTATTTCGGGTGTATTTAAAGGTTACTAAAATATATTCATTACCATCTAGCACATCCTCTGTGACCTGTACGGAGGCCTCATGGTACCTGATTCTAGTCCCACCTCTTAAATTAAGAGTGACTCAATATAGGTCTAAGAAGTTATGCCAGTAGCATTTCAGAGCCTTTCCTTTAATTGATGACTATCTCAGATTTTTATGGCTAACTAATTCTCTTGGTTTTTTATCATTAAAAATTTTAACATCAAAACCTGCCAGTTACTGTAATGTCTTCACTTCAAAAATTTTTTTTTGAGGTATGCCAATAATTTAACAAATATAATTCTAGAAATTAACTGTTTGGGAGCATAATTTCCTTGACATTAATAGGGTGGATCACTTATTGATACTCAGTAAATCCACTTTTTGTTTCAGTGCAAACATTTCTATTGTGCTCCTGTAAGTAACTATATCCTTTTTTTTTGGTAAAGCTTCTTTCTGTGAAGGATGAGAAAATACAGAAGGTGGTTTTTCCCCATCTGTCTGATTTTTGGAAGTTGATATGAAAAACAGAGACAAAGACCTTAGAACAATAGGAAAGTTTGTTTTCTTTAGCAGGCTAAAAGATTCCTGTTTAAAAACTTTTGGGCATTGACAGGTCATTTGTTTGACGGGCAGATATGTTTCATGGTTTGTTATACTTGCAGTAGTGTGTTTAAGATCTAGATAGATAAATATTCATATTCATTTTACTTATGAGATAGCTTATTGTCCTTAGTGCACAGCAACAACCTATTATGTCATGGATGAGAGATCTTGATTCAAATGTTCAGTGTACAATTTCTGCAGGGCTGAAGGCTTTCAGTGATTCTAGTCTTTTCAATGCACAAATCCTTTGTTTGAATATAAAGTTTGATTACGATAAAGATTAATCTTTATCTATTAATTGTTAGGTGTACTAATTGCATGATTATGCAACACCATTATGAGTAATATTTTCTGCTGCTTTTTTATTTACTCCCTTTCTTTGGTGCAATCAGAAAAAAATGTTCTGCAGTCAAAGTCCTTTAGGAGATACATGTATGCATGCACTAGACGTGGCTAATACCTAATGCAAAAGAGCTTTAATAGGGTTACAGTCCTTCAACATGAAGTGTGGTTTGTTTGATAATCATTTTAAGATATTCATTTTTTCAAAAGATTCATATGGGTTTGCAAACAAGATCTAGTGTGCGGTGTACTTCCCATTTTAGCTACAGTACTATTTAAAATGCTTGAGGGTTCTCAATACAGTCAAAGGTTTGCTCTAAGGATTTTATACATTCATTTCTGGCTGAGGCTCACATCAAAGATTTTCTATTAATATTTCCATGATGAAGTAGGAGTCAGGCTGCTGGAAATGGCTATGCAATCAATGAAAAATACTGTTCTTTGCGCTTTCATTTGAGGATTCAAAAGCACAAATTACAAATATTAATAGTCATATAAAAATCTTGTGAAACTAGATCAGTAATAATACCCCATTTTAAAGACTAGTAAAATAAGGAACAAATTAGTTACCAGTACTGTCTGAACACTACCCACTTATTTTGCATGGTTCCATGTTTGTGAGCCAGCGCACCTGGAGAAATCTACAAAAGTGCTGAATTGCAGCTCCTGCTGAAGTCCATAATTACAGTCAACTTTTTGAGAATTTGGAGAAGCTTGACTCCTGAATCTAAACTTCAGGTCTCTCTCTCTCTCTAATTTTTGATTAAACTCAACCTAAAAATCAATCTCCAAGGAATAAGAATATTATGCAGACAGAAATTGTAAAGAAGTAGGGTTCACTGACGCTCATGTGCCCCAAATCAAAGCTATATCCACCTTACTCCATAGGTATACATGAAACATATTCATTAAAACATACTATGTTCAATATAAAGTCTGTTTTGTGCTAGAGAAAAGCCAGATCACCAACTGTGTATTTAGAGGCAAAGGAAGAATAGCCATCTAATCAAAATCCAGGGGGCAAAGCATTTGGTAGAGGTTTTCAGCAAGCTCTTTTTTATTCTGAATCAAATACACTTAGTACAGTGTATCTCATTAAAACTTCCTCAAGTGATTGTTCAAATTTTACAACCAGTTCTGTACCTTATTATAAAACTTTCTTGCTGTATTTACTGTACATTTACACACTTTCAGCTATGAATGGTGTTTATGAGACATGGAAAGAGGTTAGAG